TCTCCTCGAGGCGGGGAACTGCTGCAGGTCGGCCTTGTGCTTCTTGCTGCCGTGCTCCTGGCAGGAGTTACCGCCATCCTCCTTTTTACCGCTGCTTCCCTCTTCAGCAGACAGCGACTTCCTCTGGGACTCCTGAGAGCACCACTTTTTCTTCTGGAAATGGCCGCAATCTTCAGACGCTTCGATTTTCAGCGCTCGTTCCGATTCAGCAGAAAGGGAGGATTTGCCTTTTTTGTGCCTGCGCCTTTTCCGTTTCTTGGGTTTCTCTTCCCCCAGGTCAGTTTTCCGGCCCTTCTCATCGGCTTCCTCCTTGTGTTTACGTTTGTGCCTGCTGGACTTTTTGTGCTTCTTTTTCTTTTTGTGTTTATGGGACCTGCCAGATTTACTCTTACCAGTGATGCTTTTACCACTGTCCTCTCCCTCCCCCTTACTAACGCTTGTCAAACCGGATTCCTGCTTGTTTTGGGAGCCGCAGGCGGACAGAGATTTGTTTTCCACTCTCAGAGCAGAGCTGTTTGCTACGCTTTCCGCCTCCTTGGCTTTGCTTACCTCAACCTCTGCGCCCTGAACGTTTTCCTTACAGAGACCCCCCGCATCCTTAGACTTCTCTGCCCCTTTACCTTTAGCATCTTTGTTGCGCGAGAGCTTGAAATCAAAATACAGGGGGTTACAGCTGTAGGAAACGGAGGGTTCTGCTTTGGTAAATATGAGCAGCTCTGAAGGCCACTGGAGAGTCGTGCTCTCGTCTTTGCTCAGAACGGGGATGAAAGGTCCTGGTGGATGCTTGGGTCCTTCCGAGACATCTTTGCAGCCCGGGACAGGCTGAGAGGCTTCTTTAGCAGTGTCAGGCTCAGGGAGGCTGCTCTCCGTAGGGTGTTTGCTCTCCTGCACACTCGCATTTTCCGGGACTTCTTTGAGCTCCGTTTTGCTCTGCTGAGCTGCAGTTTCAGCAGCGCTCTGCTCCTTCTGCTGCCCCGTGCTCTCAGCAGCCTTCTCCGCGTGCTTGCCGGGTTTGGGTTTTGGAGAACTGCCCTTTTTCGCTTCATGCGTGGCTTTTTTGTTCACATTTTCAGCTTCCATTTGTTCGGTAGACTTCATGAAAAGCAGGAATTGAAAGTTAGGCTTTACTTTACAGTGGGCTGGGGGAATATAGTGGTAATACTCTGGTTCAACTGCCATCGGTCCATCCTCTCGTCTCATCTTTTTTAGTTTAGACAGGGTAGTGGCTAGAGAGCCGCTATCCTTGTCATGTTGCTCATCCTCCTCCGCCTTGCCATCAGAATTATTTGCGCTTTCGCCCTCGCCAGGTTTCTGCAGGCTCCCTGCATCCGAGGACCCTCTCTCATCAGCTTTCGCTCCATCCGCAGAACTCGATTCTTCCACGTGGTCCTTGAAAACAGAGGCGATGGTCTCCAGTTTCACCGGAGTCTTCTTGGCAAATGAAAACGACACGCCGATCTTCTGCAGCGGAGTCCCCAACGTATTCTTGATGCCAAAACTGATCGCTTGCGCTGCCTGCGTGGGCATTTGGCTTGGCAGAACGGCGCCACCCGCTTGTCCGGTGCTCAGGAAACCTCTGTCCACAGCCACCTCAGCTTGGCCAGAAGTCGTCTGGGTGAAGGAGCTGCTGTTGGCTGCGGAGTCGTCCTCATCGCCACCTTCCTCATCCACGGCCACCGTGGTGGTTCTGAACATGGGTCCGCTCCCAGGAGCGCTGTGTGAACAAGATGAAGCAGAGAAACGGGCTCACTCCCATTTGCATACCTCCACACCTCATCTAGAGCAGTCTTCTACAGATTTCAATTACTCTTTTTACTCAATTTGCTCTTCAGTTACTCTTACTACTTACAAATATGCATTAAAATAGCATTATACAGCCATTGGAATTTTGTAATAATATTAAAAGAAAGGTGGCATTGCTGGATAAAGCAATTTGGGGGTGCTCTGGAATCCTGTTCTAGGGAGTTTACGCCTACCAAACCCACAGCACGAGGCCAAATCTAAGTGTGAAGCTTTGCCCAGGAGCACGAACGCGCTGGTGCAGCAGCAAAGGGCTTGAACGGACACACACACTGCTGGGTTAAAAACTGTGTGGATGGCTGAGCACAGAGTTGTGAATGGAGCTAACTCCAGTTGGTGCCAGTCACAAGTGGTGTCCCCAGGGCTCTGTTCTGGGGCCAGTCCTGTTTAACATCTTTATCACTGATCTGGATGAGGGCATCGAGTGCTCCCTCAGCAAATTTACAGATGACACTGAGTTGGGGGGAGTGTTGAT